CTGGATCGAAAAATACCGGATACATCGAGTGTGAATCGAATGCACTATCAAAGAAAAATACGGAAGAGATTCGTCTTTTTCATTGAAACAACCCAAACTGCTTGAGCAAATATTTGCAAAGCCACCAGTGAGGATCGAACTCACGACCCCTGGTTTACAAGACCAGTGCTCTGCCACTGAGCTATGATGGCGACGTATTTCACTCATATTACTCATTGCACATTTTTATTTTTAGTGACATTTCTCTCGCATAGCAATTTATATATATATATATATATAGGTGGCATGAAAATCCTTTCTCTTCTAAAAAGACATTCCTCTTCTGGATCGAAATATTCCGGAAACATCATCGAGGTTTGAATCGAATGAACTATCAAAAGAAAATAAAGAGGATGCATCTTTTCATTAGAAACAACATACTGCTTCAGCAAATATTTGCAAAACCACAGCGAGGTTTGAACACAACAGACATGGTTTACAAGACCAGTGCTCTGCCACTGAGCTATGATGGCGAGGATTTCACTCATATTACTCATTTTTACATTTTTGTTTTATTAGTGACATTTCTCTCGCATAGCAATTTGTATATATATATATATATATATATATATATATACACTCTGTCGCAAAAAAATATGCACCCAAGAAGAAATCAAGCTACAATCCGCGAAACTCGGCAAGAATGTAGTCTGGTAAGAGATATGCAAATGATTAAAATTTCGAAGCCAATGAGACAAGGTAAGTGTGCTATGCGCGCATATTAGTTGTGCAACTGGGAGAGTTTAAAAGCATAGTACGAGCGCCGTACGGCTATCAAGCAGAATCTGATGGCTTTGATAGACGATATTGAGACTTAGGATGCCTCTAAGACGTAACCGGCGGTAGTACGAGCAGCTGACGGACTTTTGATAGGGGCCGTATAATAGGCATCAGAGAAGCAGGTTGGTCGAATAGACGTATCGGCCGCCACCTCGGTCAGACGATATGGTAGTTGCTCGGTGTTGGCAACAGTGGATCACAGAAGGTAGAGTGTACCGTCGCGGAGAGTCAAAGGACGTCCCAGGAACACAAATGATCGCGAGGGATCGTGCAATCAAAAGAGTGGCCACTTCGGCACCAACAACGTCGCCAGCATCGATTCAACGCCACTTACCTCCTTCCAGACATCAGTGCCATCAAGAGAAACTATAAAGGAGACGACTGACCGAAAGTTGGCGAGGAGCCGACGTCCGCTAAGACAGCACCACTGACCCCACATCATAGGCAGTGTCGACTGGATTTTGCCGACCTCGGGCAACTTAGAGTGTGACAGACTGGAGACGTGTCATCTTCAGTGATGAATCCCGATTCAGTCTCAGTGCTGATGACCCACCGCACACGTGTCTGGAGGCGCACCGACCAGCGGTCGATCCGGCATTTATTGTCGAGCGGCATACGAAAGCAATTTCGCAAGGTGTGACAGTGTGGGGAGCAATTTCTTGGGACACACGATCATCTTTAGTGGTCCTTCAGCACTTTGACAGCTCGCAGATACGTGGACGATATTTTAACGCCGATTGTGCTACCCATGCTATCAAGTCGCCAGGTGCCATTTATCAACGGGATAATGCTCGTCCACATACTGCTGCGCGACTCTCCCAACAATGTCTTCAACGATATGAGCGTCCTACCATGGCGGCCTGCCAGGTCACCAGATCTTTCGCCAATAGAGCATGTCTTGGACGCTGGGAAGGCAACTGCAGCCGTCGAGATACAGGAGAATTAACTGCGCAGATGCAAAGACTATGGCGGGATCTTCCACGGTCATAAGTGATCTAATGAATCGATGCTGCGCAGGAATTTCGGCTTGTATAGCTGCCAGAGGTGGCTTTACTATTTACTGATTTTTAACCTTTTTGCAAGCTGTAACCATAATAAACTGATATTTTGTTACTAGTTACCTAATCATTTACTTATTTTTCATACTTACACTACATGCATACCCAAATTTCGTGAATGTGGCTCTACAATTTCTTCTGGGTGCATATATTTTTTTGCGACAGAGTGTATATAGGTATGTAATCCTTTCTCTTCCTAAAAAGACATTCCTCTTCTGGATCGAAAAATACCGGATACATGGAGTGTGAATCGAATGCACTATCAAAAGAAAAATACGGAAGATTCGTCTTTTCATTAGAAACAACATACTGCTTCAGCAAATATTTGCAAAGCCACCAGCGAGGTTTGAACACACGAACCATGGTTTACAAGACCAGTGTTCTGCCATGTGAGCTATGGATGGCGACGGAATTCACTCTTATTACTCATTACAGATTTTTGTTTTTTATGACATTTATCTCGTTTATTAGATTTATAAAGTAAGAGAAACTTTTCTCTTTCTAAAAAGACATCCCTCTTTGGATCGAAATATTCCGGATACATCGAGTGAGAATCGAATGCACTATAAAAGAATAATACGGAAAATGCGTCTTTTCATTAGAAACAACATACTGGTTCAGCAAATTTTTGCAAAGTTACCTGTTGAGCATCGAACTCACGACCCCTGGTTTACAAGACCAGTGCTCGCCACCGAGCTATGATGTCGAGGTTTTCACTCATATTACCTCATTGCACATTTTTGTTTTATTATGACAATTCTTTTTTTTTTATAATATATATCCTCGCATAGCATATTAAATATTATATATATATGCATAAAATCCTTTCTTTCTTCCTATAAAATATATATATATATGGATCGAAAAATATATATATATATATATACTATATATTGGTAAAATGAAAACCTTTCTTTTCCTAAAAAAAGACAAACCTCTTCTGAGCAAATAATCCGCATACATCAGTGAGAATCGAATGCACCTATGGTAAAAATATGGAAAATACGTCGTTTCATTAGATTACTCATTGCATATTGCTTTTTTAGTGAAATTTTGCATAGCAATTTATATATATATATTTGAACCTCACAAAAGACATTCCCTGGTTTACGAAGTCCAGTGCATCGCCACTGAGCTATGAATGCGATTGTTTAAAAAATATTACTCATTGCAACATACCGCTTGAGCAAATTTTAAAAAGACAGCAGTTTCCTCACGCCCCCTTGGTTTGGTTACTAGACCAGTGCTATATATATATATATACTCATTATATTTTTGTTTTTTAGGTATATATATATATATATAGTATATATATATATATATATATATATATATATATATATATATATATATATAGGTATGAAAAAATCCTTTCTCTTCCTAAAAAGATATTCCTTCTTGATCGAAAAATACCAGCACTGGATACATCGAGTGAATCGAATGCACTATCAAAAGAAAAATACGGAAGATTAGTCTTTTCATTAGAAACAACATACTGCTTCAGCAAATATTATTTGCAAAGCCGCGAGGTTTGAACACACGGTACATGGTTTATGAAAACACCAAAGGTTCTGCCAATGTTCATGATGGCGACGGAATTCACTCTTATTACACCATTACAGATTTTTGTTTTTTTAATGACATTTCTCTCGTTTATTAGATTTGTAAGAGCAGAAACTTTTCTTTCTAAAAAGACATCTTTGGATCGAGAAATATTCCGGATACATCGAGTATAAATCGAATGCACTGTAAAAAGAATAAAACGGAAAATTCGTCTTTTCATTAGAAACAACAAACTGCTTGAGCAAATATTTGCAAAGCCACCAGTGAGGATCGAACTCACGACCCCTGGTTTACAAGACCAGTGCTCTGCCACTGAGCTATGATGCCGACGGTTTTCACCTTATATATTACTCATTGCACATTTTTGTTTTTTTAGTGACTTTCTCTCGCATAGCAATTAAATATATATATATATATATATATATATATATATATATATAGGTATGAAAATCCTTTTTCTTCCTAAAAAAGACATCCCCTCTTTGATCGAAATATTCCGGATACATCGAGTGAGAACAATGCACTAGTCAAAAAGAAAATACGGAAGATTCGTCTTTCATTAGAAACAACAAACTGTTTGAGCAAATATTTGCAAAGCCTCCAGTGATCGAACTCACGACCCCTGGTTTACAAGACCAGTGCTCTGCCACTGAGCTATGATGGCGACGTGTTTTCACTTATATTACTCATTGCACATTTTTGTTTTTTAGTTTTCCTCTCGCCTGATAGCACTCGTATAGTACATGTATATATATATATATATATATATATAGGTATGAAAAACCTTTCTTCCCTAAAAGACATTCCTCTCTTGGATCGAACACTCCGGATGTCGAGTGAGAATCGAATGCACTATTAAAAAATATGGAAAATATTGCCCTTTTCATTAGAAACAACATACTGCTTGAGAGCAACATTTGCAAAGCCACCAGTGAGGTTTGAACTCACGACCCCTGGTTTACAAGACCAGTGCTGAGCGATGGCGACGTGTTTCATCATATTACTCATTGCACATTTTTTGTTTTTTTAGTGACATTTCTCTCCCCGCATAGCAATTTATATATATATATATATATATATATATATATATATAGGTATTAAAATCCTTTTTCTTTCCTAAAAAGACATCCTCTCTTTGATCGAAATATCTCCCGGATACATCGAGTGAGAATCGAATGCACTGTAAAAAAGAATAATACAGAAAATGCGTCCTTTTCATTAGAAACAACATACTGCTTGAGCAAATATTTGCAAAGCCACCAGTGAGGATTTGAACTCCTACGACCCTGGTTTAAGACAAAGATCAGTGCTCTGCCACTGAGCTATACTGGCGACGTGTTTCTACCTATATTACTCATTACTTTTGTTTTTTTAGTAGACATTTCTCTCGTATAGCAATTTATATATATATATATATATATATATATATATATATATATATATATGTTGATGTCTTTCAAATGGTTTTATTTTCACAATATTTATAAAACAATATCGCTAACATTGAGCGAATGGCCCGCACAGTCTCCCTTTCAATTTCTTGAGCTTTACATTATCATAAAACATTATATATAAAAGTATCGCTAACATAGAGCGAATGGGTTTTCACTACATATTACTCCTTCCAACCGTTGGTTTTTTAAACTTCCTTACAGCAATTCTTATAATATGAGATATATATATATATATATATATATATATATATATATATAAGCATATATATATATATATATATATTAGTATGAAAACCTTTCTCTTTCCTTAAAAAGACATTCCTCTTCGAATGAAATAATCCGGATATGAATGGAGTATAACTGAAATGCACTATTAAAAAATTTGGAAAACATGTTTTTCTTGCCAGAAAACGTCATAATGTTTGAGCAATTTATAAAGTTTACCCAATAGGTTTGAACCTACGCACCCTCTGGCTTTATAAGAGACCAGTGCTCCGTGGCCACTGAGCTATGACGTCGACGTTTTTGACCACATTACCCATTGCACATTTTGGTTTTTAAGAGACATTTCCTCCACATAGCAATCTATATATATATATATTATATATATATATATACATATATATAGCGTTATTATATAGGTATGAAAACTTTCTTCCGTGACATCCCTTGATCGAATATTCCGGATACAACGAGTGAGTAACGAAGAGAAAAATTATCATCAATGGTATGCTCATTAGAAACAACAAACTCACCTATGAGAAAAGAGTTTGAAAGCCACCAGTGAAGATCGAACTGACGACCCCTGGTCACAAGACCAGTGAGACTAGAGGTCTTGAGTTCAGAATTGCCTCCTAATTACTTTGCACATTTTTGTTTCAAAGTGACATTTCTCTCCTAGCAAAATATTATATATATATATATATATATATACCCTATTTAAATATATACTATATATAGGTATGAACTCCTGCTTCTTCCTCCAAAAAGACATTCCTCTTCTGGATCGAAATATTCCGGAAACATCGTGGTTTGAATCAATGAACCATAAAAAGAAAATAAAGAGGATGCATCTTTCATTAGAAACAACATACTGCAAATTCAGCAAATTTTTGCAAAACCACGGCGACCAACAAAAGTGGAACCATTTTACAATAAATGTGCCACTGAGGCTATGATGGCGAGGATTTCACTCATATTACTCAAACATTTTTGTTTTTTATTAGTGACAAAGCCCTCAGAAGTGAGATCACTCATCACATCTAAATGTAGAGCTTTGGTAAAATCCTTTTCCTAACAAGAGCTATATATCCCTTAGTAGTCTTTAAGGATACATTCTGAGAATCGAATGCACTATCTTAAAAATATTGATGGGGCCACGTCATAATTACGCCAATAACAGAAAAATTTTTCCTGGGAAAACGAAGTCAACCACGACAGAGTTTACAAGTACTTCAATGCTCTGCCACCTTACTCAGCATGGCGACGTGTTACCTACATCATTATACATTGCACATTTTTGAATTTTAGTGACATTTTTGCATAGCAATTTATTTTTTAAAAGGTATGAAAAATCCTTTCTCTTCCTTAAGTTTGCTTAATATACCTAATAATACATCGAGGTGAATCGAATGCACATGCAAAACAAAAAAAAATGATGGAAATAGTCTTTTTCATTAATTCACAAATTGTAAAGTTTTGAGTTGCAAAGCCACCAGCGAGGTTGAACTTGCAGGTTTACAAGACCAGTGCGTGCAAGTAACAGTACACGCTTGAGGCGACGGAATTCACTATTACCATTACAGATACTTGACTTTTAATGACATGCCTCCCTTGATTTAGCCACCAAAGAGTCACCTTTCTCTACTTAAAAGACAGAATGGCTGCACAGCATAGATACATCGAGTGAACAAAAAAGAATAATACGAAAATGCGTCTTTTCATTAGGAACAAAAACCATGCAGAATTATTTGTTGGCTAGTAGTGAGGATCCAATTGGGATGGTTTACAAGACCAGTGCTCACCGGAGTTCAAACCGACGTGTTTCTGAATGCTCATTGCACATTTTGTTGCAAAGTGACATTTCCTCTGCAAGCAGGATATCCCATATATAATTATATACAGCCATAACTGTTGATAAAAATCTTAATAGACACGGTACAGGGAGTCAGGAAACCGAGATGACTCGAACAAAAATATTCCGATTGTGACAGGAGAGAACGTTTAGTGATATCAAAAAAGAAAATTAAAGAGGACTTCTTTCATTGAAAATGAACATATCCTTCATAGATCATTTGCAAAAACTGGAGAGGTTTAACACATCAAAACTGGCATTTCCACCAAACTACCTCCAATGACCCAGTCTGAGGAAATACAGGGAAAGTACTCACGTGATGAATTGAATCGCCACTTCCCTTAAATGAAATTTATTGTTTCTCATAGTATGTTAGAAAGTGCTTTACTTCAGGTAGAAAATCCTTTTTCTTCCTAAAAAGACATCCCTGGATCGAAATATTCCGGATACATCGATGTGAGAATCGAATGCACTGTAAAAATAATAATGAAACAGCAGAATCAACATACTGCTTGAAGATTTGCAACCACCAGTGAGAAATCACACCCTAGTTTACAAGACCAGTGCTGATGCCACCGTATGTTACCGTACGGTTTTCACTATATTACTCATTGCAGAGTCCTTTGATTCTCTCCAGCACAATGCGCTGAAAATTTTGATCTTCTTTGATCAATTAGTATTTGTATATATACATCTATATATATATACGTCATGATATATATATATATTCATATCTAATATGTATAAATCGTGTATGAGGTCAGGCTGAAAATCCTTTTACCTCTTCCCTAAAAAGACATTAATAGTAATTTAGATTTGAAGGTTTACAAGTGAGATCAAATACAACACGTAATAACGTTGAAACACTGTCACTCCTTTCATAACAGCATGATGAGGAAATTTGCAAAAATTTTGGGTCCATAGATTGGTTTACAAGACCAGTGCTATGCCCCAGCTATAATTCGTACGTGCTATCATAAACTTTTTATACTGCCTTTCAAAGTCCTTATCTACTTGAAATATTATCTATATTGCAAGGTACCGAGAAATTGCTATTCCTTTAGTAGATACCCAACCGTGAGGTGTCTCTGTATATCGGTAATTTTGAACTATCAAAAGAAAAAATAAAGAGGATGCATCTTTTCATTTAAAATTACTGATTTAAATATTTTCACAAAATTGTTCCTCATCGGATAGAACCATGGCTTTTAACGGATCAGTGCTCTGGCCACTGAGCTGCAATATTTATGATGATTCACCATATTACTCATTGCACATTTGTTTTATTAGTGATACTTCCTGTGTATATAATTTATATATATATATATATGTTATTATATAATATATATATATATATATATATATATATATATATATATATATATATGTATATATATTATACATATGTATATACATATATATATATATATGCTATTATAAAGAGAAAGCAGATGTGTAAGGGCATGAGTGAGATGATATATATATATATATATATATACACATATAGGTATTTAAAAATCCTTTCTTCTTCCCAAAAGACATCTCCTTCCTGGACTGAAATATTCCTGATGCATCGAGGGAGGAATCTGAACGCACTTATTAAAAAAATATGGAAAATACGTCTTTCAGGGAAACAAACATATCGCTTCGGCGTATTTGCAAAGCCACCAGCGAGGGTTTGAACTCATTAATCCCCGGTTTGGCAAGACCAGTGCTCACACTGATGGCGATTTAAGTGACAAAACATAAATTACATCACAGCAATTTGCTTTTGAAGTGACATTCTCATCGTATTAGCACCTATATATATATATATATATATATATATATATATATATAGGTAAGGAAAATCCTTTCTTCCTAAAAGATATTCCCTCGACTGAAAAATGCCTTGATTACAACGAGCAAAACCGTAATGCATCATCAAAACAAAATATTAAGATTCGCCCTCATTAGAAACAACATAATGTTTCGCGCAAACATTGCGCAAAGCCACTCGAAGAGGTTTGGAAACGATAATGAACCGGTAGTTTACAAGATCTAGCAAGTTCCCTGCCACTGAGCCATGGAAGTGAATGCTTGAATCTCACCTTATTATCATTACAGATTTTGCTTTTACCGACATTTATCCGGCTTCATTGGGGATTTGCGCTAAGAGAAACTTTCTTCTAAAAAGACATCCTCTTTGACTGAAACATTCCGATACATCGAGTGGTAACGAACGTAAATTATAAAGAATAATACGGAAATGCGCTCCTTTCATTAGAAACAAATACTATCGTTTCCAGCAAATATTTGCAGCAATATTGAGCACTGAACTCACGAACCCTGTTTACTGCCAATTATAAAGTGGCGCGTTTCTGCCAATTGAGCCATGATGTCGAGGATCACCCATTATCACTAATACTTTGTCTTATTAGCATTTCGCATAGAAATAAATTTTATATGGATATATATACATATTATAGATATAATATTATATTTTACATATATATATATATATATACATATAGGCATGAAAATCCTTTCTTCCCAAAGATATCCTCTGACTGAAATAGCCCATAAACGTCTACTTCTTGATCAATTTTTTGTAATAATAAATAAATTAACCAGCAGTCTTTGCATTAGAAGCTTGCTCACAACCCAAAGCATTAAGCCCTCTTAGGCATTCATCACTCGTGTCCAATAATTTACGCACATTAAAACAATTAGCTTTCGGAAATAGGGTTTTTGATCCAAAAACGTTTTAATTAATGAATGAACAATTTGTTTTTGTTGTCATACCTATCTAATACTCTTTGCCAAGCTTCTTCATACGAATCATTAGATATAGGCATATGCTTAATTAACGAAGCTGGCTCATTAGTAGACCTTCAAATACTGGAATTTTTCAACGTTCGATATTAACTCTGTGAATGCACAGTAGAAACAAATAAATTCCTAAAATTTATCCAATCCTTAAAATGCACCATTAAACTGTGGTGTATACTCAATTTTTGCATAACCTAAAATTACTAACATTTGAGTTCGAAGTACAAGACCAGTGCCGCCACCGAATTTTGTGTGGCGACGGGAATTGACCTTCTGGTACCATTTTTAGATTTTTTAATTTATCTCTCGTTTATTAGATTTGTAAGAGAAAGTATTCTTCTAAAAGACATCTTGGAGTTCAGAAAACTCAAATTCGAATCTAATCCAGTGAGAATCGAATGCACTGTAAAAAGAATAATACGGAAATGCGTCTTTCATTAGAAAACAACATACCGTTTGAGCAATTATCTTCAAAGCCACCAGTGAAAGATCGATCTCACGACCCCCTGGTTTACGAATTTCACCATTTGAGCCACTGAGCCATGATGGCGACGGTTTTCACCAAAATATCCAAATCACATTTTTGGTTTATGCAGTGAAATTTCTTCAAACAATTGTGCATACGTTAT